ATTGATAGTCTTTGCAAAATTATTCTTTGAAAAATCGACCTTTACTGACGGTCTCTGAAAAATCGACCTTTACTGACGGTCTCTGAATAGTCGACCTTTACTGACGGTCTCTGAAAAATCGACTTTTACTGACTGTCTCTGAAAAATCGACCTTTACTGACTGTCTCTGAAAAATCGACCTTTACTGACGGTCTCTGAAAAATCGACCTTTACTGACGGTCTCTGAATAATCGACCTTTACTGACGGTCTCTGAAAAATCGACCTTTACTGACGGTCTCTGAAAAATCGACCTTTCCTGACGGTCTCTGAAAAAAACTCTATTTTTTAAACCACGCCTTTTTATGGTCCCTGAAAAATATTCTTTAAAAAATCCACGCCTTTGTTATGGTTCTTGGAAAAATATTCTTTAAAAAATCCACGCCTTTGTTATGGTCCCTGAAAAATTATTCTTTGAAAAATCCACGCCTTTGTTAGTCTTGGAAAAAAATTATTTAAAAAATCCACGCCTTTGTCATGGTCCCTGAAAAAATATTCTTTGAAAAATCCACGCCTTTGTTATGGTTCCTGAAAAACTATTCTTTAAAAAATCACGCCTTTTGATGATACCTGAACATTTTTTCTTTAAAAAATCACGCCTTTTGATGATACCTGAACATTTTTTCTTTAAAAAATCCACGCCTTTGTTATGGTTCTCAAAAAAATATTCTTTAAAAAATCCAAGCCTTTTGATGGTCTCTGAAAAAATATTCTTTAAAAAATCCACGCCTTTTGATGTTCCTGAAAAAATATTCTTTAAAAAATCCACGTCTTTTGATGGTCCCTGCAAAACTATTCTTTAAAAAATCCACGCCTTTGTTATGGTACCTGAAAAAATATTCTTTAAAAAATTCACGCCTTAATATGTTTCCTCTTAAGGTCCCTGAAATATTTGTTTTCCATCCTATAACCCACCTTAATATTTTCCTATATTATTTAAGACAAACAATCAAACTATACTCGCACACTACCAAAGGTTGAACTACTAAAAAACGAAACAAATAAAAGTTTTTTTCTTCACAGTATGCATGTTTGAGCATGCATTTCGTGTCACATTTGCATGCAATCATAAAAAAGGATGCGAATCAAAAGCCAAAGGAAACAAGAAACATATTTAAAACAACGTAGAACAACAAAAACAACAACAACACCAACAAATATTAAAAACGACATGCAATTGCAAGATAAATACTGTAGATATTCTTTTACGGGTTTGGGGGGTTTTTCGACGACATTCACAAAAGGGAATGACAGAAAGGTGACATAAAAAAATGTGTTGCCAAAAAAATCTCAGATCTTTGTTTGATGAATACGTATACATACATATGTTTGTTTTTTTTTTTAATGGAAAACGAGGCCAAAGGTCGTCCCAAAAGCCAAAGTGTTGATTTTAACGAAAAAATAACGCTTTGACACAAAGGATATATAAACATTTGGCCTATAGAAATAAAAGAGAAAAATAAACGTTTGTTAACATTTGGCTATTGGAACAAATCTATCTCTTTGTGATGGAGAGAACCTTTAATTATAAATGTTATGAAGAAATTATTTGTGGTAATAAATGGAGGCAGAAGTACAATTTTGGAAATATACAATATAAAGTCGTATAATGATAGATACAGTAAAATTAATGATTTGATCTCCCATGTGTACATAAATAAAGGAAGAAGTTTAGCTTCTTGATAAAAATTCCATAGCAAATCCCTTTAAATCAGCAATTTATGAAAAGAATTTAAGTATATTTAAAATAAGTTATATTAGTTATTATAAAGTGCTTAAGCGGACTCACCTTCCACAGTTTCAAAATTTTTAATTTTGTGCGTTAATTTAATTCGAATCTGCACAAATTCATGAATGTCCCTAAAAAATTCCATTAAAAATATAAACAACTCTTGAAGATATAGCCAATTTACTGTGTTAGTGTCCAATGACGGCAAAAGTTGTTCTCAGACTTTAAATTGGGTTTTCTCGAAACCGTGTTTCTACAACTGGCGGACACGATTACTCAAAAACTACTAACCTAATCGCTTCCAAATTGTGACACGTTTCTTTGTAAGAATGCAGCTATTTCAGTGAAGACCTTCCGTATCCTTTTAACTTAGTTTGTGGTCAAAAAATGCGGGGTTCCAAAAAAAGTTCAAAGGTCCGTAATTTTTTTAATTTTTTGCGAAGTCAATAATCCTAGTTCATATGATTCATATGATCGACTCCGATTAGGGGTTTCAGAAATTTCGGATGGTTATTTATATTGAAGCTATGGGAATATATATATATATATATATGCCGACTTATATGAATAATCTGTATTCTCTGAATCAGTTGTCTGATTCAGAGACTACAGGGTTTAAAAGTTGACCATTTTTTTCCTTGGGGGCCAAGTCAGGCCTATACGTGAGATGACCTATCGATTTCAAATTTCTCCGAAGATTTTAGCCAAACATTGACCGCCATACGGTGATCAAGCTTAAAGGTCTGCGTCATAACCAGATTTGCCCAAAAATAGGCGAGGATTTGTCTCGAAGTGCTACTTCCACAAACTACTTTACTTGGATCTCGTACACATCCACCATTCGCCAACTACCATGAGGGATAGGGTATACACAAAATTGTCATTTGTCGAAATAGTCGCCCGACCCTCTACACATTATACTTATTTCCAATCGGAATAAAGTTTTTTTTTGTAGATTTAGCCATGTCCGCCTGACTGCTTGTTTGAATCATGATAGAGCTCACAATATTGCACATATATTACATAATATTGCTTTGTTTTCTATACCCCCCTCCAAAATGCGATATTTTTAGAGTTTTTGGGAAAGTTCTTCAATAGAATTGTCTATAATTTGGTATTTTGAAATATCATGGGGAAATCTGTCTTCTTATTAGAGTAAAATTTTACAATATTGGACCAAGTTTTAGGAAAATCTCCACATAACTGTACCTCATCAATTTCGGAATTTTGGGGAGTCTGGACAAGTATTTCAGCCAAATTGGCTGTCTTTTTATATTTTGGATTCCCAAAGGGAAAAAATTCTCTACAAAACAGATTAACATTGACCCATGTTTCGGGGTAGCCCCTATATACCGTTACCTCCTATTATTCGGTATTTTGTGGGGTTTGGGCCAGATGTATGACCGAATTGGTACTAATTTGATATTATGAATTAATATAGCTCGAATTTTGGATATAGACTCCATATTAAGGTCCAGTCCCTTCCTACCAAAAAAATATAGGTACACTTTTGGGTATAGACTCCATTAAAAGTTATTGGTTTGGTCCTGAGCGCAGTTGACTACATTTTAGTATTAAGAAGTGGCTGAATTTTGTCATTCCGGGTTCTTGGTGGGTGAACAACTTATTCACAGAAGAATTTTAATATAATATCATTTGCATATCATAGAGACACAGCTATTTTTATAAGATGAATGACACTAAGCCGGAGTGAATATATTTTAGCATTTCGAAATTGAAAAACAAACTTCTTCACAGAACATTTTCAATGAAAATTCATGTTCATATGAAATCACCACGCATCTTTTTCGATATGTTCAAGGTCTTAGCCTACTTTATTTATTACTTGTAACAATAGCTCCCACATAAAACTTACGAACGACTTGAGGCATTTTGAAAGTCCACATCACTGTGGAGGGTATACAAAACCAAACATATCCATTTTTTACTCTAAAACAAATTTTAACTGTTAATTAAATTTGGAAAGTGTATTCCAAGAAATTCGGCAAGGATTTCGAAAGATTATATGCCAATAATCCAAAATTTCATTTTTAGACGGTTTCCAAAATTTAAAAAACTTATTTTTATTTTCAACTATTTGACATTCTAAAATATCAGCGTTCAATTAAAATCACATCATTCCCATTTAAACGATATTAAACACTCTTCCCTCATGAAGAAAAAGAAATATACTTATATACAAAATTTTATGATTTTTACGATGTAATAACGACCTTCACACACACTCACTTACCAGCTCAAGTACAAATATTTGCATCCACTTGCAATGTATAGCAACTATAATATTTTTGTTAAATCTCATCTTGTCTCGTAAAATTTTATGCTGAGAAGTAACACAGAAAAATAAAGCGGAATGTCCTGATTATAACCTGGTGCTGCAGGTGTTTCTCTACACACACATATACGCTTTTTATAAAACCATGTGAAATAAAAAACGTTTATATTCACAAAACCCCTTGAAGGTTTATGTTACAGTGTATATTTATAATATTTTAACAAGAGTGTGGCGAAATTGTAGCTGCATGTGGATGAGATTTTTTTGTGAATGCTATGCAGTAAAATTTCGTCTATATGAATAATTTTTATAACCTGAAACAATATGTTTAAATTTAATCTCTTGCTTATATGAAGCAATAGATTTTAATGAAAGAGTTTTATAGGGAAATTTGTGAAAAAAATTGGATGAAATTTTGCAGGTGGTAAAAGAAAGAAGGCTACTTAGGATTTCAGAAATGGAGGGCGAAAATAGATCCTGGTAAAAATATATCATGTTTATAAGTAGTTATTTAAAAATTGTAAAAAATCGGTATTAACAAAATTTTACATAATTGAAAGTAAGGATATTTTGTCTAATTTTTGATATAAAAAAGATTTTTTAAATTTATTTTTCTTACAAAAAAAAAAAAAACTCAGATATTTTATTGAGATAAATTGAGATTATTTTTTAGAAAATATTTTTGCAGAAACTATCAAAAATATTTACTCCAAAAAAGAGATTTATTCAAAAAGTTGCCTAATTCTTAGGAGGGCAAATCGAGTTTACAAACCCATTGAATTTATCCTCTTATATAATTCTATATGTTGTAGCAAATTTAACCCATTCCACTTAACATCTGCACATACATACACTCATAAATATTTCTAATACAAATGTTTTTTTCTTTATCTTAAATCTAATGTTATTTATGTCTGCATGTTTTTTTTTTCTTACAGGTAAATTCAAAGAACAAGCTACCTCCAATTCCGCCTGGTTGCCTGTCTTGAATTCCAAAGTACCCGAACCACGTCCCGGTACATGTGTTGAAGATACCCAAGCCCTGCCCGATTTAGTGCTCAATTTCATACGTAAACATCCATTAATGGACAAAGCCATCGATCATGAATTTGGCAATCCAGTGTTTTATAAACGTGATATTATCTTGACCAAATTGGTTGTGGACAAGTAAGTATTTTTTGCCAAAGAACGGCTAACGGCATGTGTGTGGCCATATATGAAGAAGATTAAAAAAAACATATTTCTTTTTTGTTTTGTGTAACTGTCTTTGTGGCCAAGAAAGAAAAAGAGTTTATAAATGGAAGGAAAGAGGTTTTTTGTTCTCCGTTTCTTTTGCCATTTTCTCAAGATATTTATGGCATAATATTTTAAACAATGACTTTTTTATAAAAAGCAAGACATAAAGAGGCAGAAGGGCAAGGGGTTACATTACGTTTTTGTAGGTTTGCCAAAAAATGATGATGGTAAAACAAAAACGGACTTACACTTCTTGACCACAAAAATAAAACACGAAAAACAAATATATTTTCAAGTTGAAATAAATATAAAAACCTACCGAAAAAGGCCATCTCTGCGACATGACTATTGGAGCCTGGGGTCAGAGAAACCACAAGAAAAACATTTTTTTGTTTTTAGTAGTTGCTTGAAATAGATCCAAATTTCTTCTATAAGAGGATAATGGTAATAAATTAGCAACAAGCATTTAGAATGTAAAGTGGAGTTTTTGGTGTTTGCATATTTTAATGGGAATGCTCTTAACCCTTTCAGTGTTGATGGGGTCTCTGTGGGGTCGTTTGCCCATGAAGGGGCCAAATTATTGAAAAATTAAAAAAAAAATCATTTTGATAGATTAAGGGTTTTATTCCATTATCATATTATCATTCCAATTTTTCGGAATTTTGTATTTTAAATAAAATTAAGTCAAAAGACTGACTTGTATACCCTACGCTATAAGGTGATGGTTTTATTAATTGTGTTATTCATCAAAGACAAGTTTCGAGTTTCCCATATTAGATGTGCTACTTTCAATTCGTTTTGGTAGATAATTGATATTATTCCCTTATCATATTAGCATTCGGCTTATTTAGAAATCTGTATATTTTTTATAAAATAACAGTTTTTAGCTAAACGGTCCAACAACCGTAGCTGTTTATACCCTTCCCTATAACATGAAGGCTGTATTTATTTTGTCATTCGTTGAAGACTCCATAATACCTACCTACACTAAATCGGGTTCATATTCTCGAATTATTTGAGCCATGTCGGTCTAGGTGTTTGTTGAAATTATCATAAGTACGTTATATTTAAAACAAATATTTTAAATTTTGCACGTACTCTAAAATACTATCAGTATGTTCAATATTAAAAATGTGATATATCAGAACATCTAGAGAAATAGCCTCAGAATATTTGAAAATATTTAATTATCTGCCTTTTTCGGAAATCTGTATTTTTTATAAAATCCATTCATGGGAGATCCCATAATGGCTATGTATTCTAGATCAGAGTCTAGGTGTCTGTTTAAATCATTATATAAATCGTTATATTCGAAACAGATCAAGCCAGGTTGATATTGAAAACGGTATACATCGGAACACATTGAGGAATAGCTTTATATGATGGACCGGCATATTTTCGGTGTTTTGAAGGTTTAAGCTAATTTTTTTTCCAATCGAAGTTGCTGTAATTTCAAATTTCTGGTAATCAGAGAATAAAATATTTTATTTAGGCAGGATTTTTAAGATCCTATATGGATTTTCTAATAATAATGACTAACATATAAATCATGACTACGGTTTTTTGGCTCCCTATGCGATAGAAGCCTTACAAGTCGAATATTTTCAATATTCAGATTCAGAATAGATGCCATATAATGATTCCGCTCTACATTGGGTGTTTTCAAAGCCTCAGCGGTATGTAGAAACCGAAGTGGTCGTAATTGGACTGTTAATATAGGCCTTTTTTAAAACCTTCTCAAAGAAAATCTTCTGCATGAAGCTCAAAGCTTTTGAAGATCACCATATGAAGTTATAATTTTAACGTCCTGTACGGATTTTGGTATTTTTCGGTTCTAAGAGGATACAAGCCTTACAAAAAAATTATTTCAATTTGGGCACATGTTTTGAAACAGCTCCCATATTCCTATATGCATTTCCAAAACCCCTATATGATGGTCCACGAATTTGAACAGCCCTCCTATGAAGTCACCGACATTACTGATTTTCAACAAAAGGTCATTGTTTAGAACCTTCTCAAAGAAAATGTTCTATATGAAGGTCCACGCTTGTGAAGATCCTTCATTGGAAATCACCACTATGTTTTTTAAAGTCTTGGGCGATTTTTCAACAAAATTGATACATTTTGGTATTTTTTGGGTTCTGAGAGGACAGAACCTTACTAGTAGAATATTTTCAATATAGGCGTATGTTTTGGAATAGTTACCATATACCTTAGGTGTTTTCAAAGCCCTTAGCTTACAATTTGGGGTTCTGAAAGGAATAAAACGAAGCTATAAAACGGTCACGGCGCGTTTAAGGTATTTTTAAAGTTCCACCCTTATTTTAAATCGAAGTTGCTTTGCTTTGACATTTCTGATTTTGGGAGAATAAAATGCTTCCTGGAAGGGGTAGGGGTCTATTTTTTCTAATAATGCCCCATATAGAGATTTCGGTCCATATTAGGAATATTGAAGGAGCTGGGTGAACGTTCCGACCTAAATGTCTATAACCTTGCATTTCGGGTTCTCACAAGATGTATACCTCTTCTCAGAAAAATTTCAACGAATGCCCTTATTTGTCTTGAACAACACAATGCTCTGTATAATATTAGGGTTTTAGAATATCCATATCTTAATTTCTAATATAAACTGAAAATTTTGTAACTTGATATTTTTTGGTCTGGGAGGATAAAAATAATACTTTTTTCCAGTTCAGATATGTTTCAGGCCTCAACTGCATTTTTTACCAGATTCACAAAATGTAGAACAGCTGATAGAAGATCAGTTTTACACAGGCAATGTTTTGGCTTAATCCAAAGGCCCTGTTCTGACAAAGGTTTGGTATTTTTAATGTCATGATCGAATTTTATAATATAAAATGAATTTGTTGTAATTTAAAATTTTGGCCTCATGGAGGATAAACTTCACTTTGGAAGGAAAGTACTTGTTTTGGCAATTCGGAGGGTAAAATATTTCTCAAGAGAAATTGTTCAATGAAATATTCCGATATGGATATGTTTCCTTGCTATTTTAGACATTTTTCAAGTCCTGGCAGAATTTTCTAACTTAGGTGAATTTAATTCAGAATTTTAGATTTACAGAAGATAAAAGATCTCCAAACAGGGTGACTGTTTGGCATATCCCCTTTTCTTGGTGGTTATAATTTGAAATTTCGGATTTACAAAGCATAAAAGAAATTCCTATAGCTCCATGTAATGATGTATCCCCATATAATGGTTCGGCTCTATTTTAGGCATTAAGAAGGTCATATTCGAATTTAAACACTGCATGACTGCAATATAGTGGAAGGTTGCGAACGACCGAATTTTACTTGATTTAAAGAAACTATGGAAGATAATCACACGGTTCGATTTGATGACCTATTCTTGTGTCGTTAAAGGTTTTTTCTACTTTATTATTTTCTTTATTGAATAATATGTTACCTTCTTCTCTCAAAGTGAAAATATCTTATTTAACTCAAATTCCAATGAAAATTCCTTAACACTACATAACTTTACAATACCATGTGATGACCATAAAAATATTTTCGTTATTATTCTCTTAATTAAAAGAACAACAACCTCATCTCTTAAAATATTATATTTCACATCTTTGTCTTCAAACCTTTACAATTTCTTTTTTCTAAAAATTAATTTCTGGTAGAAGAATTTTCGGAAAACATAAATGATTTCCTTTTTTGTCGGTTTTCTTATTTGTGGTGGTAATATGGCTTCTGTTGTTGTTGTTCTCTTTTTCTTTGTGACTTATGGTAATGACTAGTTGGGTAATGTGCTTTAAACAACAACAACAACAATGACGACGACAAAACATCTAACTAATTTGAAAAGGACATTTCTTTTTCCGGTATTTATTGTTGTTTTAAAACCAACTCAAAGTCATATTTCTCTTTCTTGTTGTTGTTTTTTTGGTTTATTTTCTGTGGCATAAATCCCTGCTCTTTCCGAAAACTAAAAATTGTTCAAGTGACCAATGAAAATGTATGTGGAACAAAAATACATATATTTTTTTTCAAAACCGGAAGTTATTTTCTTTAAACGTTTGTCGTTCTAGTTTATCTTCTTTCACTTGTTTCGTTTACTTCTTCTTCTCCTTATATGTCTTAAAGATATTGCTAAGCATTAACAAGTTTGTGAAAGAAGGGTTACAAGCCAGCTATTCATTTTTTTTTGGTTGTTAAACTTTCTTGTTGTTGTTTTTTAATAGTTTTGTGGGAAGAAAACTGGAATAAACTTTTGACATTTACAAAGTGTTTCATAAATTAAATGGAGTTGTTGATTTCGTTTTTTTTATTAAATATGTGAAAGGGAGAAAAAAATGTGCAAAATTCTAAACATCGATTTTTTACCATTTAAAGAATATTTTTAAGTTAATAAAGAAATTTAAAAAAATAGGAAAATTTTATAAACCAAATTATTAATTTCATATTTCTCCATTTCTTTATTTTTCCAGAATACGCATCGATAAATTAAATCAAGAATATTTAGTGTATTTCATTGGCACCGCCACCGGTAGCATATATAAAATAGTACAATTTATACGTTACGGTCATCGACATTCGAATCTTTTGGATATATTCGAAGTGGCACACAATGAACCGATACGAGAAATGGGTATAAGCCAGAAAACCGGTTCTCTATATCTATCGACAGATTATGCGGTTAAACAAATCGATTTGGCAATGTGTGCAAGACGTTATGACTCCTGCTTCCGTTGTGTGGCCGATCCCTATTGTGGTTGGGATAAGGATGCTGGGACATGTAAACCATATCAATTGGGGTTGTTACAGGTAAGGTTGTCAACAAAATAATTTTATATTTTTATTTCTTTTTGGAACTGAATTTTAATTTAAATCTTTCGCTATCCAATTTCATTAAATTTTGTTTTTCATATTCCTATCATATTTCTATTTTTTCAATATCTTATCTAATGCTGTTGTTTGTTTTTATGTTTCCTTTTATGGCGCGCTAGGATGTTGCCAACGAAACTTCCGGCATTTGTGATACAAGCGTCCTAAAGAAACGTATCACCGCCTCATATGGCCAAACGTTGCATCTATCGTGTTTTGTTAAAGTACCCGAAGTTCTAAAACAAAAAACCGTACGATGGTATCATCATTCAACGGAAAAAGGACGGTAAGTTTTAGGAGAAGCCGTGGAATTTTACTAAAACACACACACACACATTTAGTTCCCTGGTAGTGTGGTGGTGTAGTAGTGATGGTAATATGGTGGTAATGGTGTTTGGTTGTCTTGTCGATGCTGCAGCTCTGGTATGTGGTGTCGGAATATGTGAATTGTGTTTCATGTCTTTGCATTGAGAAGATGATATCGTTCTTCTGATGTCTCGTATATCATTGAAAAGATATTGGAAGTGTCAAATGCTGCGTTTGTGTTGATGTTGTTGTTGTTGTTTCGAAACGAATGCACGAATAAGTGTCTATAGTTTGATATAGAATTGAGACTGGGATAGTATAGAAATATGGCGAGTCATTGAACCACGGCTTTGAAGTAGAACTTTTGGATGAGTGAGCCGTGGCGATATTTAAAATTTTATAAAGAAATATTAAACAAATTAAATACGTTTTTAAGTAGATAAAATTAAGACAAATTTGTTAAAAATCTACCACTTTCTAAAACTATGTTTAAAAAATCGAAAAACTTAAAAAATTATTGGTAAAACATAAAAAAATATTTTTAAAAGTTATACAACCTTAAAAAAATATTTTTCTAAAAGTCTAATCCCTTGAGAAAAATTATTTTTAAAAATGTACGCCCTTAAGAAAATTATTTCTAAAATTCTTCGCACTTCAGAAAAATATTTTTAAAAATCTATCATTTGCACGATTTGCACGAAATTTGACATATAGTACTGAATTGAGCCTAGAATTATTTGTGCAAAGTTTCATGAAAATCGGTTCAGATTTAGATATAGCTCCCATATATATTTTCGTCCGATTTTAGGTAAATGGTGCACCAAAGACCCTATATATTCTTCGATTGGCACGAAACTTGGCACAGCGTACTGAATTGGGTCTAGAATGATGTGTGTACAATTTCTTGAAAATCGGTTCAGATTTAGATATAGCTCCCATACATATTTTCCTCCGATTTTATGTAAATGGTGCACAAAAGAACTTACATATTCTTCGATTTCCACAAAATTTGGCATAGCGTACTGAATTGAGTCTAGAATAATGTGTGCAAAGTTTCGTAAAAATCGGCCCAGATTTAGATATAGCTCCCGTATATATTTTCGTCCGATGTTATGTAAATGGTGCACCAATGTCCCTATATATCATTCGATTTACCCGAAATTTGGCATAGTGTTCTGAATTGAGCCTAGAATAATGTGTGCTGGGTTTGATTAAAATCGGTTCAGATTTAGATATAGTTCACATATATAGTTTCGTCCGATTTTATGTAAATGGTGCACCAAAGTCCCTATATATCTTTCGATTTGCACGAAATTTGGCACAGCGTAATGAATGAAGTATACAATGATGTGTGTTAAGTTTCGGGAAAATCGGTTCAGATTTAGATATAGCACCCATATATATCTTCGTTCAATTTAATGTAAATGGTGCACCAATGTCTCCATATATAACATTCATTTTCCAAGAAATTTGTCATAGCGCACTGAATTGAGTCTAGAATGATGTGTGCAAAGTTTCGTGAAAATCGGTACAGATTTAGATATAGCACCCATATATATTTCTGTCCGATTTTGTGTAAATGGTGCACCGAAGTCCATATATAATTTTCGATTTGCACGAAATTTGCCATAGCGTAGAATGGTGTGCGATAAGCTTCGTGAAAATCGTTCCAGATTTAGAAATAGCTCTTCAATGAAATTAAATTTAGCATAGGTTCCAGAAAGGCATAAATATCTTATATTCATGTTCGTTCAATTTCATGCCAATGTTCTTTCGAAAAGACGAAGTCCATTAGGAGACATATGTAGAATACACCCAAAGTGGTGAAGGGTATTATATAGTCGGCCCAGTCCGCCTTTACTACATTCCTTACTGGTTTTTGTTAACAAACTGAGATTTTTTGGATGGCTGAATGACGAAGCGAGAGAGTCAGGGGTGGTTGGGTAGTTAGGCAGATGCCTTGTTTTATTTTATGAATGTTGAAGTCCTACCGAATTGCATCTTTTGCGAATTATACGATCTTTTTTTAAGTATTTAAATAACTACTTTTCTAGCCATAACCAATTGGATCTGATTGCTATCGTTATCAAAGCCATTTTCAACATTTAAAAAACTTTTCTTTTTAAATTGTCAATGATTTATTGATAAAGAAAAACTTATCCTTATCTGCAAATCAATAGGCATACATAGTCATGTATTTGTCTAAATCAAATTTCAATGAAGAAATCCTTAACAAATTCTTCTCCTTTGAAATATTATCAAGATATCACAGTCGATTTGTACAACTGTCATTCACCCTCAATTCAAGAAAAATAGAGAATATCCAATTCGTAACATTTATACAAATATGAATAAATAAATTATATTTTAAATGTTTGATAATAGCTATCAATAATTTGATTATGAAATACTGTATCGAATTTTATCTAGCAAATCACAAAATAAAAATTGTATACAATTCAAGGGAGACATACAAGTGTTCATTCGTACATACAAACATAAACATTGAGAAATATTAAATTTCAAACTAATTGACACCCTCCCCTTAGAAATGTGTCTGGTGGAGATGTGGTGGGTATCGTTTATATTTTTGACAAAAAAAAAAAAAAAAAAAAAAAGATTTTACACTTGTTTGGATATTTCAAGAGCAGAAAGGGGATGGTTAGGAAACATGATATCAAGAGGAAAGCTTTGAATCCTAGAGCTCTGCCATTAAAAATACAGAGGTCTTCAAAATCGAAATTTATTTTTTAAATCCACAATCATTGCGTCCTATCAAAAATCATTTTTTTTAAATCCCCGTTTTCCACAGTACATTCTTCAAAACATAATTTTAAAACATCAATTCCTTAATTTTTTACAATCCACAACCGATTAAATATTTTTCTTAAAATAAAGGTGTTCCAAAATATCTGAAAAATTATTTCAAAATAATATTTCCGACCACAGCTTTAAAAATTAGGTTTTGTCAAAAACACCTTTTTGCTTCCGAACCTAAGAATCGATTTTTGCTGCCTTCGTCTTGAGGGTGTACCTTTCTGCTTCCGAAACTATGAATCGATTTTTACTGCATTCGACTTGAGGGTGTACCTAGTTTTTTCCTTGAGTGCATTTTTTAAGTCGGGTTTCGGAAAGTTGAAGAAACCTGAGCCATCTACCCTGAAAGCTTACTACCACACTTCGAAGAAGAAGGAATCGGCTTCCCAATCCAAACAAAAAAAAAACAATAACAATAACAATAAATGAAAAATCATTTTCATCATTCAAAAAAATTTTTACAACGAAGCAAATATACGAAAATTTCCAAATATAATTAAAAGATTGATAGGTGGATGATTTCATCAGATTTTATTTACAAAATCTTTTTCAAAGTACTAAAACTCAATGTCAACATTTTTCAAAAAAAAGTAAATTTTAATTCTTGCATATAAAAAAAATCTCCTAAAAAGACACATGCTGTGTGTTATAGATATCTGAAATTATTAAATTTATGACGATGATGATATGACAAGCAAAGAAGACACACGCACACACACAAAATATTTATGAGAAGAAATATCCTGTATAAAGCTCATCATGTTTATTATTATTATTTTTTTCTACAAATTGAAATCTAATGAAGCCATAACTAAGTTAAAATACCAACTTTGGCTATATGCTTATGGCTGCTTATTGAGAAAATAGACAAGAAATGTGTCTTCTATGTCTGATGTGACAGTCAGACATGACATATCATCGTCAAACGGAAATGTAACTGATGAGGTTCTCTTCATTTGTTCTTTTTTTGAAAAATTTTCCACAGATTATGTTTATCATGGAACGACAACAAAATTCCTTCAACTTTTTTCCTTCGTTTTTTTACAACACCAATGCCAACAACAACATTAAAATACAAACTCTGCAATGTAAACGTCTACATAAAAATTCCAATCGAAAATTCAATAAAGCCAAAAAAAAAACTAAGATTCAAGTTGAAAACTCCAAAAAGAACAACAACAATCAACCAACCAGCATTAGCACGAGCGAGAGCAATGCTGTAATAAAACACGTCAATTACTGGCAGGGTGGAATGGCAAAGACATCCGAAAAACGAAATGTTGCTGGGCGTTACGTTATTTTATTTTTTTTTTACGAAAAAAGGAAACGGAAATGAAGTACCAAAAGTTTTGTTTTGGCATTAAAGCGGTAAATTGACACTTTAAAATGTGTTGTTAGTCAATATTTCGCTCTTTGCTTTTACAATTCACTGCCTTTCCAACATTTGCCAGGAAATTTATATATATATATATATATATATATATATATATATGTGTTTGAAACATTAAATTTTTTTTGTGTGGCCCTCTTTTCCATGTCCATATATAAAAGTCAAAACTTTCTTTTACTTCTTTCAAATTGAATGCAAAGGCCTCATGTCGCCACACACACATACGTATATATTTTACTTATATTTTTAGTTAAAAAAAATATATATATATGTTTGTGTGTGTGTGTGTGTGTGTGGCGGGTACCAGCGCGTAAATATTTGTACGCTCTTTCGTTCGTATTCGAGTATGTAAAACAGCAAATAGGTTTGTTATTTGTTGTGTTGGTAACTTTTTAAACATGCCGCTATTCTATTAGTGCTGTGTAATTTGATCGGATAATGGATATGGGACACCGTATTGGTGAAAAGCTTAAATATTAAATAAAAAAATATTTATTAAATTTTATTAAATAAAAAGAAATATTTATAGAAAATTTAAATATAAAACATGCAATTCAAAATATAAAATTAAAAACAAAAACTATAAAATATAAAATTAAGAATATAAAATATAAAGTATAAAACATAAAATAAAATATATAAAAAATATAAATAATAAAATATTGAACATAAATTTTTAAATATAAAATTTAAAATATGAAAAGCAGAAAATAAAATATAAAAAATAAAATAACAAATATAAAACATAAACATAAAATATATAAAATTTTAAGTACATAATATGATATATAAAGTATAAAATATAAAATTAAAAATATAAAATAAAACACATAAAAAATAAAACACATGAAATATAAAAAATAATATATAAAATATGAACTATATAATAAAAAATGTAAAATATAAACTATAAAAAAACATAATATAAAAACCATTGAGCAGAGTAGTATAGTCGGACGAGGCCGACAATATGATACCTTACACAACTACCACTGAAGTTTAAGTTTCTGCGGATCTATACTCCGAGCCAGGACAATATATCGCGATAGTTGTACTCTATCGACGTCTTACAGGGCAACAGCTTCACATTCTAAACCCTGGTTGCAAATCTTGTTTTCCCGGGTCGAATTTTTAAGTCATAAAATAAAAATTTGGTCACTTTAGTTTTTAGGGTGATTTGACCCCCGGAATATTCAAAGATCATCACCTAAAAATCCGTTATAAGTAATTGGTTAAATCCCCTTCACCATGTAAAATATGAGGTGTTCTCATAGAAGTACGCAGAGGTAGTCCCGGGGCACGCCCAATTTAATTTTTTGAGATTTTTTCATTTTGTACTACCGGGCCCCCGAAATGAAATCCTGTATACGCTGGATGTTCTTATATGATAATGGCCTATAGAGCGAATAAAAAATCTGACAAAAATAAACTCTTTGATTCATGACACACCCTAAATATCATAAGACCATCACCGAAAATTATAGGCGTCGCCCTTGACCAAAACCCGAACTTCGTGGTAAAATTTCAAGGCGATAAGCGCGACATGTCCGCCCTCTAGTGGGGTAATAGTAACACTAAAGAATATCATAACACATAGACACCTTTAAATGTTTACGTATAACTCCCACATGCGAGTACATACATCAATATAATTGGTATCAATTTACAGGACAACCAGACCTCTTGGATATACTGTCAACTTATCTACGTCCTTCAAGAAAGGATATATACACCAAAATACAGATTTTGTCACTTTTAACACAAAATTCTGGGCTAATCTTTATCAAAACAGTCATGCTTATTCTTTGGCCCGATCCCCTTCTCTGTGTAAAATTTCGCGATGTTCGGGCTATAATTGCGTTCTGTGGAGCGATAAATATTTGGTCCATTTCATCCATTAAAAATTAACCGATGTTTACGAAAAGCAATAGGGGTATTCATTGATCATAGCCCATCCTATGTGCAAAATTTCGTAACGATTGGTCCAAAACTGTGGCCTGTAAAGGTGGGTCTAGACCTCTTGGGGCTGCACAAGGCTATAATACCCTGACAACATAGATGTATGGGATATAATTATGCCAGAACATTTAAGGTACCAAAAATGGCACCTGACATTTATATGGGGATTTGTGGAAGTATGGATTTATATTGAGAATGTTCTGTGGAGAAGTTTTTTAGCCACCACAGTCTCGGAATTCTTATTCGTAATGCTATAATATAGTTATTTTCGTTAGAAAATTGGCGTAGGAACATCCAACATAACTATAAAGGGGCTGCTATAACGACAGATCATTCAATATTGATAATGTGTCGAAGAAATCAACTAATTCGGTTGTAAAGCATTACCCAAAATACCGAATAATGGAGTGTACCTACCTCGAAACTGGACTAAATTAGAAATTTCCTATATAGAATCCAAAATTCTAAATTACCGCAAATTTAATTAAAAACTAATTATATTCTCCCAAAATGCAAAAAATGAGAGGTTTCCTTGTATGGGGCTACCCAAAAGTAGCCCTGTATTGTAAGTAGGGAGATTTGCTACCCAATCAGTATCGGAAATATAAAATCACAGTCAATTTACTTGAAAAATGGGTCCAATTAGAGCAGGAAGGTGGGGAGATTTTAAAATGCCAGCTAATTTGGTTCAATCAAGAGACCAAACTCTCGAAAATATCCACATTTGGGAGGCGTGACAAATATAAATCGTTTTGGCAGGAAGATTTGCTACTCAATGAGTACCCAAAGTACCAATGTACAGTCAATTCAGTTTAAAAAGTTCCCAACATACAGAATATATCATCACCATCGACCGATAACATTCAGTAGCAATGTATGTGCAAAATTTCAAAAATCTATCTTAAATATTGCGAGATCTAACATGATTTCAACAGACGCTCAGGCGGACAGACAATCTTTATGGTGGAGATTATAAAAACATGTATATCTCCCATACCCGAATATTTCCGAACATATATTCGCATCCTAACCAACACTAATCTCCGCCATAATATTTTATAAAATATCTAGAAAAAAATTTAAATTGTGCCGAAATATGTACATCAATATACGAATATATATCTTACAGTGATACGAGTATGTTCGTACACATTGAAATTCGAATGAATGGGTTTGGTGTGCCTTGCTCTCTTGGTGTTAAGACAGCATATCGAACTTTTCAATTTAAATTTTGACTTTTTTTTGCCATAGTACTTCATTTCGTTTTTTTTTTATTATCATTGTTATTGGCCAACCATCCAACAACAACAACGAAAAGTTTTGTGACTTTTTTTTAGGAAGTTTCGTTTTGAGCTCGTTTATTTCTATAAAGTAACAAACACTCTTGTACATCCATGGAGATGTTGTTTTTCCAAAACGGGACATAGGCTTTAATGTTAGTTACGGGTTGTGACAAATCTTGTGGGCATGTGCCACAGTCAAACTAAAAAGGCTTTGGTGTTGGATCTCATGTAATTCAATGGAGGAGCAAGTTGGAGTAGTAGTAGTGTTTTTTCGGTTCTTTTGCAATTTTTTTTGGTTACAAGGAATTGAATATTAAAAGCATTGCGGAAGATTTAAAAGGAATTTTTGGTAGTTGGTAGTTTTTTAGTATACTTTTTGTAGCATAGCAAGACAAGAATATATAATTTATGCAAATATACATTATTTAAGTTAAGTTAGGATTTTTTCTTACTTGGCAGGGTCTATCGATTGAAGAGAAGAATTTATTTAGATTCAGTTTAAATATGTGTAGAGATTTTATTTTTAAGTAAAAAATATAATGTTTTTCCAAATAGCAATTCTATTTGCGATTTATACAGTCATACGAAGATCCACTACCATAAAAAAGTTCCTCTTTAAGCGAATTTTCTTAGCTCAACATAAACTGCCAATTAGTGTTTTAGATTTTCCCACAACATTTTCTTAAATTCGTTTTCCTAATTTGTAAGTTTTTAAATATTTGAAAATTAATAACATGTTTTTCTTCCTCTCTTCTCCTTTTCTTCGTTTCATTTAGCTATGAAATTGCCTTTACCCCCTCCAAATATATTGAAACATCGGAGGGTGGTCTGGTGATTATTTCAATTAACGAAGGCGATGGTGGACGCTATGACAGTTATTTAGGCGGTACACTGCTGTGCAGTTACAGCGTCAATGTTGATGCCCACAGGTAAGTTTTGTTGAAAAAAATAATAATATCCTGCAACGAAAACTTTAAAGAAAATCAGCTTAACGAACATTTTGTTTGAAAAATAATTTAAGCTACGACAATATTTAATTATTTATAAATTCTTTCGTTTTATTTTCCGTTCGAAATTTATGTTCAGGCACGTTCTGTTAAATATTTTTTCGTTCGAAATTTCTTCTTAATTTAAAGTTTTCCTTCAAAAAAATTTCGAAAGATTTTTTTATTTTTTTGGGTTATTTTTTCTGGTTGTCCTTAAATTTCAGTCACCATGGTGCTGTGAAATTATCATGGCATATGTTCACTTCATCGATTTCCCTTTTTTGTTTGTATGACAACAATTATGAGCGTTTTTCTTTTAGTTTATATTATTTCCGTTTCTCCGCTTCTCAATTTACGTTTACTTTCGTGGACCGCGTAACATCGTTTGCTTAATTTATTTGTCCTTCTTTGGGCTGGCCATTAAAGGGTGATTATGGAGAGATGAAGTAAAATCTCCGAAAAGTTCAAAGGGTGAAATTTCTATAACCTAAGAAACTAAGAAAAAAATATAAGTTCGGGTTGAGATATGTTAAAGATAACCCAATAGCTCCATCTATTCAAGTTAGGGCCTTTAAATATCTAAAATCGGCAGAATCATCGATACCAGAAGCCTATGTCAAATTATGGGGAAGAATTTTAGCCTCTGAGAAATCGAACGTCCAAATTTCGGACATGCAGGAAATGCCACTATTTCAAATCGATCTATACCAAAATGTGGACCTTATTTTTCAAAGAATCGATTTCATGCTGTGAAAAAAATTAAAAATTCACATTGCAGTCATTTCTGTTGAAAATTGAGGCTAACTCACAATACCTGATATGAGAGATATGTTAATATAGTTTCTCATCTTCAGAGAAGCCGAAACGCCAAAGTACAGTACGATTGGAAAATGAGAATAGGGCCTTGTAAATAACGAAATAGGTGTGGTCCCCTATGAGGACTACGTAAAGGATAGAGCTACCAAAAAAAAATTCTGTCAATTTTTCAACCTTTGAAAAACCAATATACCACATAACAGAATATAAGGGTAAACATTTAGGCCAGGACATTTAACTACTCACAATGGGTAGTGGCTTCTATTTCTTAGGCAATACCAATAGGATCGGTCTATATCCTGTCTTTAGGACGTTTTTTATACCCTAATCCCAAAATAATGGTTGGGGCAAAATATATCCATTATTTTTATATGAAATTTATGTCTTTATTTAACATATTTCGGAATGTCCGATTATGTTGCCATTTTAAAGGTAACTTCATAATGCCTCTCTCTTAGAAGTCCTGCCCTCTATTTGCAAAAAACTTTAGTAGTCGATTTTCACAATCCTCCCTAGATACCAATTTTTTATCATTATTATCATTTGTAATGCAAGAAATGTATGATAATCTCTTGGTACCACGTCCGGACTGTATGGCGGATGCATTAAAACTTCCCAACCAAGTTCCCGATCTTTCTGGCGAGACACTGTAAATGTATGAGCCTATTTGTCCTTGTGCAACAGGATACCTCTCCTGTTGACCAATTGTGGTCAATTGCTGTCTTCAAACGGCCCAGTTAATGACAGTAGAGATCAGAATTTAGCCATATGGAAGCAACTCATAATAAATAATCCCCTTCCAGTCCCACCAAATGTATAGCAGAACCTTCATGTCTGTTAGTCCTGGTTTGGCCACCGTTTGAGGTGCTTCACCAATCTTTCTTATCTCCGGTACCATCTGTTTAAGAAATGGGTCTATCGATGGAAATGGAAATTCTATCTATCCTATTTTTTCTGTTTGTGCAAATGGTTTAAAACAGTTCTATGGTCGATTTTTTAGCTCCTCGGCGATGTTACGACTGCTAACATGCCGGTCAACTTCGATCATTTCTCCGATGTTTTTTCTCCCAGATTTTCATAATAGATTTCTTTTTCCCCAATCTAATATATCGTATGGAAATAGAGTTTAGACCTTCAACTTGCCTAAGAGCCGTTGAAAGTAGAGTTGAAAATTTACGGCCAGAAGATTTGAAACCTTTAAGAAATCGCTTTACAAAATGACCTACTATTCGATTGGAGAATGTGGATAGGAGCTTCAAAAACTGAAATAGCAATCCTAATAGAAGAGTGGTTTTAGTTTCATGTACGTTTTTCTTTAAAAAAAATTATTTTACTATTTATTTAATAACCCTTTAAAAAAACTTCATCTTACGCCCCACGTTAACTCATCGATGTACATAAATTAACACTCTGCACACCATGAATTCTTGCAATGTCTGTGCCTTTCTCTCTCTCTCTCTCTCTCTCTTTCATTTGCACGTTGTAAACCAAACTTTAATTTATGTTCGTTAACGTTCGATTTTTTTTTGTTTGGATTTTCTTCAAGGTTCTTCGTTTCTTATTGTCTACTGTTACATTAAATATTGTTTCCTCTTCTTCCTTTTTTGGTAAATTTTAATTACAGATGTACACCGCCATCGAAGAAAAACGATTATCAGAAAATTTACTCACATTGGTGTAATGAATTTGAAAAATATAAATCAGCAATGAAACAGTGGCAGGCCAAACAAGAGGTAAGTTTGTATATAATAAATTTCATGGCGAAACTCATACATAAAACAATAAAGGGTATTGGGTGGGGAAAATTTCGGCGAGGGTGGGGCTAAATTCAAGGAAATACTTTAAAAGTTAAAGTGTTGTAGTTGAGATAATGCGGAAAATAATAATTGTGTATGAATGTTGGGAAAAGAGAAAATTTTAAAGGGAGAAGTTATTGAATGCTGTAGCTGAGAAGGAGGTGGCTTGAGATTTTTAGGTATAATCGACTCAAACATAATAAGGCTTTAAGTGAAATTTTAAAGTAGGGATTAACATTTTTTATATTTTTTGTAGTGTTGGCGGGTTATTTTGCATACCATTTGGATTGATTACTTTGCAATAATTTTATATTTTTTAAATTCTATTCTGAAAATCTCGAGCCTATTAAGAAAAGGTTTAAGACTATAAATGCTGAAGTTGTTGTTCCTGATTCGATTTCAAATTTTTCACATGATTTGTTTAATTTTCCACTCCAAAAATATCCACAACATTTCTGCTTCAATTAATTCAATTCAAAAGAATTTCCTTTGCCTCCAGCTACTTATTTGCCCTAATCTTAAATGTATCGAATTGCAAAAATTATTGTTAACAATTTCCGCCTAATTACCAATCAATAAATTTTATTACGCCAACAAGAACAGCAACAGCGGCAGTAACAGCAAATTTGTCTTAAAAAATTAATAACCATTGTTTACCCAAACAGTCGTAATGAAATACTTAGTAATTTATGTTTAGCAATAAATTCATTAATAACTTTAGCCACATAAATCATGCGACTAATAAACCAAGCAACCAAACAGCCAACCATCCAAGTCACTGTAAGATGAAAATAGCAAATCTGAAGCGAACTCCCTCATCGCCGGGGTAATTTGCAACCGAGTGGAAATGAAAATTCGTAATGGCAGGAGAAACCTTAAAATGAATTTTTTAATTGCTTCGCAAATCATAAATCAAATTTCGTTTACAACCCCACCAAACGAAATGGCCAGCTAAGCAGTAAAAAGTAAATCACACACACATTCGCACTCACACAGCATCTAAATCTCGTACAACACACACACACTAATTACATTGAATTGGACATAAAGTTGGTCATTAGGAAGAAGAAGAGGAAAAATGTACGTTACTTGAAAAAAAGGACCATGAAGAATGTTGGCGAGGGTGGCATTTATGTTGTTTATGCCAATAAGATCAAAACATATGATTTTTACGTCCTGGGCATGTCCTTAATTTCGAACAGGTTTTTGTTTTTTTAATTAATTGTAAGAAAATACTGGCACCAGACATATAACAGCAACAACAATAATATTCTAAATTAAGAATTCCGTAAAATGTTTATTACACAAACAGATGCAAAAGCAAAATTACAAAAAAAAATGAAGAATGAAAGGAACAACAAAAAAGAACTGCAAGGCAAAAGAACGGAAAAAAGTGGAAATTAATTAAAAACAATTAGCAACGTTTAATTTGCTGAAACGTTTAATTTCGGTGGAGAAAAAAAATATTTTCTTTTTCACGTGTTATCTCTATCTCTCTCACTCACTCGCAATGACACACAAAAGATGCCAGTGCCAACAACATTTTTGTTTTTGTTTAATGTGTAAACGCTTCTGAATTAACTGCCAAGGACAACACATCGCTACATTAACAACTGTGAAGGTGTTCACAGCTAAAGCGAAAGGAAACGAAAAAAACTCCGTAGAATAGACAACGGTGAGGGATGAATGTTTATAGGTTGTTTTAAAGCCTGCAGTCTCATTAATTATGGTATGTTAATGTTTCGAATGGTCGATTAATGAAATTTAAGGCATATTTTGAATTTTTATTATCTGTGGAATGATGACGGTGCAATAATTTACTGTGGGATTGTATATGCATAAAAAACGGAACACTGAATATAAAAAACTTTGTAGAATTTATAAAGAAAACAAAACAGGTTTAAATTGGATTTGTAGGTATATAAATATTCCATCTATCTATGTTTTATTGTATATTGATGGGATTCAATTCTGAAAGAGTTTTTTTCTGAGAACCATAAGGGGAACACTTTGAATATCTAACGAGTACAATAATAATGCAGACTCTATTGAACAATGTTTTATTGACCTCATGTCCGTTCAAAAAAAAAAAAAAAAAACATATTTCTAGAACCTCCGTAATTTTTTTCCGAAACCTAATATTTTCCATGTCTCACGAATGTATAACACCTCGAAATATTCGAATACATTAATTGTTTATCGGAGTGATTATCCATTAAAATATGGACCTCCAAAAAATTAGCATAAAAATTGTCTTTCCGAATAGTTTTAATGTATTTCTAGTGTATATATTAGCCACAAATCACGGCATATCCAGTCATTGACAAATCAAGACCAAAACAAGTGTAAACGATGTTAAGTTCAGTCCGGTCGAAATTTATATACACCTCCACTATTTGGATGACAATCAATATATCTAAATTTAATGGGGCTCCTAGGAGAAATCTCTTGTTATGATAGAACCTCGAACGTGTCAAAAAATCCCCATATTGGAGGTACCATATTTTGGGTATGAGAAATCTCTTGTTATGATAGAACCTCGAACGTGTCAAAAAATACCCATATTGGAGGTACCATATTTTGGGGGCTACCCTTAATCGTGGGTCAACGTTAAACATGAATCTTTTGTCAATATTCATAATTATTGGCACTCTTATGTGTTACTCAATGATAACCCAAAAAAACCAAATTGAAGCCAATTCAGTTGGAAAATCTGTCAAAAATCCCCGAAATACCGTGTATTGGGGACTTCCGTTATATGGTGGCAACCGTGAAACTTGAGTCAATATTAATATTTTTTGGTAAGGATAAGTGTTATTCAATGAGAACCCCAAATACCAAATTGGAACCTATTCGATTGTAAAACTTATCCAATATCCCCAAAATACCGAATATTGGAAGGAGTACCGTTATATGAGGGGTACACCAAAACGGTCACCGATATATGTCATTTGAAATAACAAATATCCTAGGAGTTCTAGGAATGTCTGTGCAAAGTTCCAGAGCTCTATCTTAAATATTGCGATCTCTATTGATGTAGAATTCTGATCAAGAATATATTAGCTTGGCGAAAAATAAATCAATTAGGCCGGTCGTCTACAATCGGATAAATGACCGAAGTTGACCGGCATATTAGCAGTCGTAACATCTCCCATAACCATAAAACTGTTTTAAACCATTTACACAAAGCTTGATCTAAAAAGAAGTTCGATGTTTGGTTACCACACAAATTAACAGAAAAAATAGGATGGATCAAATGTTCACCTGAGAAGCCTTGGCCAATTGAGAATGAGATGGGCACATTCCTTAAACGGATGGTGACTGGAGATGAGAAATGGATCACATACGATAAACCTGCGCGAAAACGATCGTGGTCAAAGAACGGTGAAGCACCTCAAACGGTAGCCAAACCAGGACTAACGGCCAGGAAGGTTCTGCTATGCATTTGGTGGAACTGGAAGGGGATTTTTTGTTATGAGTTGCTTCCATATGGCCTAACGCTAAATTCTGATATCTTATGTCAACAACTGGACCGTCTGAAGATAGCAATTGGCCATAATTGGCCAACAGGAGAGGTGTCGTGTTTCACCAGGACAACGCTAGGCCACACACATCTACAGTGAATCACCAGAAACTTCGGGGGTTTTAATACATCCGCCATACAGTCCGGACTTGGCACCAAGCGATTATCATATTTTTCTTGAATTCCAAAATTTGTTTAATGAGAAAAAAATGGTATCTGGGGAGTATTGTGAAAATCGACTTCTAGAGACCAATTTTGGTAAAAAATCGATTCATTATCCGAAAAGATATAATTATAGCCAATTAAAAAATTTTATCTGTAATCCGCAATATGTATAAATTGCGGGAAACATTATATGGGGGCTATGCCAAAATGTGGCACGATATTGGTAGTGGGTTTCATTTGCCGATTCCTTTGAATATATGTCAAATAAATCCTCATAAAGTAGGTTAACCTGGTAAAAAGTTCTAATGTATATGACGTTTTAAGCATATCAAGGTCCCTATTTGGAGTATTTGAGGTCCTAGTAAAATGCGGCCATTGTTTTGATTATCATGTTGAGATTTAAATTAATATGAGCCCGCCACACAATACTCCTTATCATCGCAAACAATTTTCCCAAAAAATTCGAAGTTTTGGAGTAGCCTGCATAGCATTTAATATTCTAATTATGATTAAATATTAATTTATATGTGTTTTTGTATTTTTTTTTTATTTCCAGCAATGCAACATGAAAGACAAATCGTCCGGAAAGCATATAAATGAAGTCTATAGTAATGACAATGTAGTCTGACCTAATGGTAAGTTATCAAGATATACGAACATAAATATTTTTCAATAGTTTATATGGTGGATTCAAATTTCATTTTAAAAATTTTAATTTTTAATATACAAACATAGTTTTTTATCTGATTAAATTTCTTAACCAGTTTCCATATATATAAAAGTCGAACATCAATTCCAGACTATTTTTGCGTTCGAATTTAATTGTATTAATCATTCTGAAATATGGAAATTTTTTTAAGTCTAAAGATATAATACAAGCCTAAATTTTTATTTCATTTCGTTCCCTTATATCAAATTATTTTGTATAAGGACATTTCTGTATTTTCATTTGTCAGATTATTTTTAAAATTTCTTCAATTTGCCTCAATTATTTAGTGTAAAGAGTTCCATATTCCAAATTTTGTTGTGGTTGTCGGTATAGTGGACCTGTTATATTTCCAAATGTGTTTAATATGCTATCATATCCTTCGTCCTGACTATGTTCGATAGAGGCTATTTTATTAATTGAAAAAAAAGTTTATAATAATATATTTTTAAATATTCCAATTTAATTTAAAAAAACAGTTATTTTTTCCATTCCCAAATAATATTTAAAATTTTTTCTCTTCATTGTTTCTTTTATTTACAGATCATCAAACTACTTACTAAAGACTGACATTTTTAAGCTTTTAAACGACAATATTTCCCCCCACACAAACACATCATAGTTTGATTTATGTTATTCTTTTCGATTTATCATCTGGTTTTGTATTCAACAAATAAAATAAAATTTAATTTAAAAACACAGAAAGAAAAAAAAATTAAAAAAAAAAAATAAACAAAAAAAGCGAAAAACACAAAAATAAAGAGGCGAAACAAAAAGTATCAACAGCTTATGGAAAACAAAACAACACAAATCGATTAAAAGGATTTTAAACGAAATACAAGCAAACAAAAACTACAACAAATAGTGAATACAACAAATCTAAAGATACAGGATTTAAATTTTAAGTTGAGTTTATTTCACAAAAACTGGATAACAGAAATAAAATTCCCATACACAGCCACAAACATAAGCATACATGTACATATATACATATACATGCAAAATAAGATATATGAATGGACATATTTTGGATTTTTTTCAACACACGCCCACAAATAAAACTACAACAAATTACAACAGCAGCAACAACAACAACGTGAAGAACAAAAAGTTACTATATAGAATGACAAAAAAAAGAAAGAAACAAAAAACAACAATCCTGCCACAAAAAACCCCCAAAAAACTCAGGCACCATCATCAAGTCATGCTGCTTGAGGGAAAAGGGGGAAAATGAAAAAACAAAACACATACCCGCAACAAAACTCTCACTCAGTCACACACACATTGTGAAATTGAAGAAAAGCAAACCAGCCAGCCAGCATGCAGTTCGTATGAAATATGAAATATTGAAATGGTTTTTAAAATAGTTTTTAAATACAATAACAAAATAAAAAACAAAAACAAATATGAAACACTACAAATAACAACAACAGCAACAATAACGAAAAGTAACGGTTTTAAATGAATAACAAAAGAAACACACATATAACAAAACAGCAATAACAACAACAACAGTATAGAACAAAAGGTGTACAATTTTGTTTCCCATTTTTTTTCTGTCTGGATTCAGTTGGCAATGAAAAACAAATAATAAACAACAAAATGCCATATTTAAATAGGAAAAGAACAATGAAATCCTTTTTATGTAATTTTTTTGTTTAAATAACAATGCAAAAAAAAAAATACAATATTACAATCCACTCAAAACCACCAATCATATATAGTTACGATAACTAATAAAATAATTTTTTTTTTGTATTTTTATTGTAATATTTTATATTCATATTTTATTTTATATTATTTTAATTTTATATACATAAGGTTTTAAGAAAATATGTTTCTTCTTGATTTTATTATTTCCTTTAACTTTTATATATAAAAAAACAAAACAGAAAACAAAACGCATGGACCCGAACTTGTATTAAAATAATACAACATTTCTCACAAAAAAAATCAGAGTTGTAAAAATTTTAACTTAGCCTAACTAACTTCTGTAAGTCTATCTTTTCAACAACAACAAAAAAATATTGTTTAGATAAAGTTAGGAATAAAAAAAAGCAAATATCGAAATTTCGAAGTAAAAAAAAAAAATTAACACAAAAATTAAAAAAAAGAAAATCCGACACAGGTTAATGATTTAAGGAAAATATTAAAAAAAATCTGAAGATTTAAGAAATGATTTTTCTCCTGGAAAACATAAAAAACATCAAACCCTTGTTTGAGCGGTATTTGGGGTCTTCTTTAGCAAAATAAGTCTTCCTGGAAATATAATAAGTTCCTGGAAAACTGAAAAAATCAAAGCTCCAAACCTGAGAGCTTATTTTTAAATATGAATTAAACCTTTTTTATATAGAACAAATCAAGCCTCAGATTCTATACAAGCCACAGTATCAGATAATTTAATCGGAGGAAACTTGAGGAAAATATTTAAAAAAAATCTGAAGATTTTAGAAATGATTTTCTCCTGGATAACATAAAAAAACATCAAACCATTGTTTGAGCGGTATTTGGGGTCTTCTTTAGCAAAATAAGTCAGTTCCTGGAAAACTGAAAAAATCAAAGCTCCAACCCTGAGAGGTTATTTTTAAATACGAAAAAATTAAACCTTGTTCATATAGAACAAACCAAGGCTCAGATTCTATACAAGCCACAGTATCAGATAATTTATTCTGAGAAATAATTGTAAAGAAAAAGTCAATCCTTAGAATTGCGGTCACTTCTTCTGCTATTGAAAAAATCAGAACGGAGATTAATCTTAATTTCCTTGAGAATGTTTTCTATAGGAAAAAATCAAAGCCCAATACTGAGAATCCTGAATGAATCATGAGCATACAAAACAAACTTGCGGAGTTTTTTCTTTGTTTCTATAGCAGAAAAACCAGTGATCGGAGCGGTATAGTCGGACGGGGCCGACCATATGATACCCTACACAACTACCACGGAATTCCAACTATTTTCGGATTTTTATTCCGAGCCTGGGTGATATTTCCTGATAGTTGCACCCTCTTGTCCGATTAGAGGTCAGCAGCACTTCTTCCTTACGCTAGCATATATTAAGATTCGGTCCACTTCATCCCAAAATTATAATCTGATAATCACAGAAATTTATAGGCGTTGTCCTTAACCACAACTGGAAACTCATGGAAAATTTCAAAGCGATCAGCGCTATATTTCCACCCTCTAGTGTGGTAATGTGATACTAAATAATATCTCAGTACGTAAGCACCTGTAAATTTTTAATTTTGAATTATTTAAAGGCCAACCACTCCTCTTGAATATACCTCTTCTCGGGTCTATGTCCTTCTCGGGTCTATGTCCTGCAGGAGTAAATATATACGCTATAGAATACAAATTTTGAAAATTTTCACACAAAAGTCAGGGTCTTTCTGACGCGCTAAATATTGACCGATCTTTATCAAAACAGGCATGCTTATTCTTGGGCACGATCCCCTCCTCCATGCAAAAATTCACGGTGTTTGGGCCATAATTGCGGCCTCTGGAGCGACCAGAAAAACCGACAAAAATAAAGTTTTTGGTCCATTTCATCCCATAAATATCAATCTATCTTTTCCAAAAAACAATAGAGGTCTTCATTGGCCAGAACCCATATTACATGCAAAATTTCGTGGAGATTGGTCGATAA